TCTTCTAAATCTTCATCTTCTTCTTCGTCTTCTGCAACTTCCCAGAAATACAGAGGATCCATACCGTCCGCCTAAAAAAAGCGGGTGACGTCGCCCTGACGTCACACCCACTCGGGCTCTCAGGCTGGCACGAGTTGCCAGGCCTCTCCCTCGGGCTGGGCCTGTCCCTCTGGCTGCCACACGCTGGACCTCTCCCGTCGGGCTCTATGGCACTGTTCAACCCACTGTCCCCCGAGTTATAGCTCCCACTGGAGCTGCTCTTAGATAAAGAGATTTGAGGCTACTAGATGCCATGCATGAATTTGTAATGAAGTAATAAGTCATTTGAAAAAACTTTATTGAGAAATACTAAAAGGGACTCTCTCAAAAGTAGGACCTCGATAAACTATCTGCCACCTTACAGTTTAATATTAATTATCGTGTCAACATTACAAAATATTGTGCTAAAAACATGAGGCGACAAAGAGTCTATGGAGAGTCCCACTTTTTTTTTTTTGAACAAACGATATTATCTACACTAAGAGGGAGTGGAAGTGGATCAAGCCTTACAATAGGTCAGCCACAATAATGTGGATCAAATTCACATTTGCTTGAGAATCGATCTAAGAGCTTTTGCTTACAAGTAAAAAGAAATACCACTGTACTGTAATACTAAAGGTCATCATTTCTCTACTTTATTTAGTGACTTTATAATACTCATGTAGTGCACTTTACTAACTTTGGCACTACGAAATCTCTCATTCAAAAAAAAAAAAAAAAAACACTATTAAGGCAAGATAACGCATTTAGATGAGGTCCATGGAGTGACATTAAAACTGAACCAAATCAAACCGTTTAACAAATGCTAAATTGGAGTAGTCATCTGGACAGGCAACACATGTCCAAGTCAGGTCATATCTCATGGGGATTGGAGAGTTGTACATGCTGACCATGTTCCTAGAAGAAACTAAGGCACCTTCCCCTTCCGAGAAGAAACGTTGGCGCACATTCCTCCTCCATTACTTTACTTTGTAGTAAACCTCCACCACTCCACTCGTTCTAATCGCATATTTTATTCATCTTTTTCTTATTTTATAACACTGTCTACATTTGAGATGTAACAGTCCCATATTTACCTTTTTAGAAAATATAAATATGGGTTATTATGAGAAATATGTAGATTAGGAATCTAACGGATAATTTCCTAAAAACATAAAAAAATAAAATGGAAATAGACATCTTTATTTACATCTTCTAGTAAAGATGAATAATTTACATTTTGTTTTTTCGTCCACTGTGTAAACTTTTCATTTCAAAACATTTTGCATTTCCCATTTAAAATGCTTAAACACTTAATAAACCATAACTCTTAACGTCTGAACGAATGTAATTTTCTTGTTCATAATTACGATTTAATAATAATTTCAAATGTATTTATTATAAATAACAAGTTGGAAAACGATTTATTATTTTTAAATTTTTTTATGATACGAGTCAAATAACGCACACTAAACCAAACCAAGTCGAATTGAAATTGCATCGCCCACAAATTCTAAAGAAATAATTAGACACGGAAAGAGTCGTCCCGAGTTCAGGGGGACCCTCACATCTCCAATCAGACTCCAGACTTCGTCTCTTTATGTGAGAAATCCCGACCGTACAGAACTAATCAAGATCTGATCACAGCCATGAACGGTCTGATTGATGGGGTTGACTAAGAGCCCACTGTGTAGACTGTAAATTGTAAGGCAGAGATTGCTGAGATTTGGAAAAAAACAAACAAACACAGAGATTGCTGATATATATATCTACAGATAGAAATGTATATGTATATATATAGATGCAGCTGAGCTCAAACAAGTAAATAAATTTAACAGCCAACTGAGGGGAGAAGAAGGAGAGGAGACACAAGAGCATACAAGCACAAGCACTCTACAATCTGGTGATTTTCTTACCTCCCTTTCTAGGGTTCTCATATGTGTGTGTGTATATATTTATATTTTATTTTTTATTTTTGATCTTTTGATTTTATTTTTTGTATGTGGTAGGATCTTAAGTAATCTGTTTTGTTTAACTGAAATGGATTGTGCTGCTTTTGGGAATTATGAATGATATTTGATGGGATTTTGGGTTTCTTACTTAGGTTTAGTGAAAATAATTCAGCTTGAGCTATCTTGAATTGAGATTTTGGGTTTCTTAATTGTTAATTAGCAATAAGTGTGTCATTAAAGTTATTTAATATGCACATAAAGCTCCTAATCAATCAATCTAAATTGTTTTTGGAAAACTAAGTTGAATTCTGGATGGGAAATCGGTAGGGATTAATGATTTAACTCTGAGAATTGTTACCCTATGAGGATGTTTACAGTTTATGCTGAAAGTTATTTTATTTTTTGAATCATTTCATGAATAATTTGGTGAGGAAGATGATAGTTTTCTTAAAAGTAGCATCAGAGGGGAAACTGGGTATTGAATTTGTTCAGATTTTCGGTTGCTTGTCGTGCAGCTGTATCTTAATTGGATGATTCATTTCTGTTTGCGGTTGCTTTGATTTACAATGACGATTCTCTTGTCTCGTATATTAAGTTGGATTGGTGTTGGATTTTGGTACATCAGGTGAGCATATAAATTGAGAAATGGATCCTAAAGAAAGGCAATGGGACACCTGGGAGAATCCTTCCACTGGGAATGATGTGACGAATACGATTTCCTCAGATCATCCATCTTTTACCAATTTCAATTCGCAGCAGCATCAACGCGAGTGGGAAAGGCCCTCTGTTTTAGATTATGAAATGAGGATGGAACCGTCCTTCCTGAAATTCCACCAGCCTTCTGATTCGCAAATGTCATACACTTGCAACTCCAAGAATGATACAAAAATTCCAGATCAAGAAGGTGGTAAGATGCATGAGGTGCAGCAGCCTAATAAAATCCAAGACTGGGATGCAAGAATGACGTTGAACAATCTCACATTCCTGGAACAAAAGATCCATCAGCTTCAGGATTTAGTGCATGATTGTTGGCCGGAGAGGTCAAGTTCTAGGACGACCAGATGAACTTGTGGCTCAGCAACAGCAGCTCATAACTGCCGATCTTACTTCAATAATTGCTCAGTTGATCTCGACAGCAGGTAGTCTTCTACCATCTGTGAAGCATACGCTTTCCACCACGTTACCTTCTACAGGACAGTTTGGGCAGCTTGGTGGGTCATTTATTCCTTCTGCAGCAGGAAATGATGCGGGTGTTAAGATGCAAATTAATAGCGGAAGCAAATTAGCTGATCAGGCCAACCAGACTGATCTAATAAGTAATTATGGGACTGAGCATATTGAAGAACATGAAACCAAAGATGAGGAGGATGCTGATGAAGGTGAGAACCTTCCGCCTGGTAGCTACGAAATTTTACAGTTAGAGAAAGAAGAAATCCTTGCACCTCACACTCACTTCTGTGCAATTTGCGGAAAGGGATTCAAGCGGGATGCAAATTTAAGGATGCACATGAGAGGTCATGGAGACGAGTACAAAACTGCAGCAGCACTTGCAAAACCCAACAAAGAATCCAGCTCTGAACCAACCCTTATCAAAAGGTATTCATGCCCTTATGCCGGCTGCAAGCGGAACAAGGATCACAAAGTTTCAGCCTTTGAAGACTATTTTGTGTGTCAAGAATCACTACAAGAGAACCCACTGTGACAAAAGTTACACTTGCAGCAGATGCAATACCAAGAAGTTCTCTGTTATTGCGGATCTGAAAACTCATGAGAAGCATTGTGGTATAGACAAGTGGCTTTGTTCTTGTGGCACCACCTTCTCAAGGAAAGACAAGCTTTTTGGGCACATTACCCTTTTTCAAGGCCACACTCCTGCCATACCCCTCGATGAAACAAAAGGAACTCTAGGGCCAGCAGACCACGGGGAAGGCAGTGAAGCGTCAAACAGAGTTGGAAGCATAAGCTTCAGTGTTAGCTCCACTGCTCCTGGCGGAGGTGGTGCAGCTCAAAGTCTCATGGACGTGAAAGAAAGTATTGATGATCCAACCAGTTACTTCTCTCCATTGAATTTTGAAACCTGTAATTTTGATGGGTTTCAAGAGTTCCCTCGACCCCCGTTTGAGGATACAGAGAGTTCATTCTCTTTTCTTATGCCAGGGTCTTGTAATTACACTCACAAAACTGGAGGAGGTGAGTCGAATTTCAACAATCTTCATCGACAGTAATGATGACTCGCCCCTAGTGTATGATTTCCTATAAGAATTGTAAGTTTTAGATGATCCCATATGTTTATGAATTCTTGAGCTTAAATAAATGGTTTTCTTTGCCAGTTTGGAGCTTGTGTATGTTTTAGGTGATCCCATATATCCTGAATAATAATGCATACAGAATTTGAATTTGTCTCAGTCCCTTGCTCTTGAGAAACAAGAACTTTCGCCACCTTACTACGGTCTGGTGATATTCCTCCACTTAGGGCTGGTTTGGTATTGCTGTGCTTTGAAAAAAAACTGCTATGAGAATAAGCGGCTGTGCTGTGAGAATAAGCGGTTGTGAAATAAATCAGCATAATGTTTGGTAAACTTTTTTGTAAAAGTGAAACAGTCTGATAGTTGGTCTTTTCATTAAAGGAGCGCGGTAGCTCCGTGTGCTTTGAAAAAAAGCCAGTTTTCCAAAGCTGCAAATAACTGCTTCAGCTTTTTCTTTTGATTTCAGCTTATTCTCACAGCAGCTTTCAAAATAAGCCTTTTTTTTTAGTTTACCAAACACCTAAAACCCTTACAGTTTTTTTTCATGGGTGCTTTTTTTTTAAGCACCTCACTCCCAAACCACCCCTTAGAAGTGAGAGGTCTAAGGTTCAAATCTCGTGAGTAGTGAATTCGATACCAAATTAGGCTACCATTGTGTGGCTTAGCCAAACTCCCCATCCCTTTAGGGTAAAAATATCAATGTACTTAAAAACAAAAACAAAAACTTTCATTCGAGGCTTCAAACATGTAACGCGTATATTTCATAAAGAATTTGAATCAGAGCTCCTTAAAAGCATCGTTTTATTTGAATGATGTAATGATGCATAACAACAGATTTCGAATCCTCAAGTTCTTGATCTAATCCCTTACATCCCCGACAAGGTTTTGATGAGGCGATCCTTATCCCTTTGTGCATACAAGTTTGTTCTTTCTTTAATCAATAGCATATTACTTTCAGAAAAACCGACACATGAGGACAATTTGAATCCTCAAGTTCTTGATAAAATCAGTTGAAATAAAGAAGTTGAAGTGCTTGATAAAGCACAAATAAGTCAACTTCTTCGGCATCATTTTGCTCGACATAACAACACCATTACAACTTGAGTTGAGAACGGAAATGAACACTGTTTTTAAGTTCATCTAACGGATCTGCCCGTAATGAGAATTGTGGTGCAGAATGAGCTTCAAGCCCTTTGCACCTTCACCATTTGACAACTTCTTCAGAGGGCCACAGCTATTGTACTTTTCTCTCAAAGCTACATTGCCGGAGTAAGACCATGTACGCCCACAGGGAGAACTGTCCGGCCACATAAACCTCTCAGAAAGTGGGTTCACCAGACTCTCACGAAATTCTTGAGCTGTCTCACAAAGCAAACCCTGAAACAAAACCAAAATCATGTTTAAAAAAAACACCTGCATTATGCGCAAGAATGGTTAAAGTACTAGTTGTAGCATCATTACCTCTGCCATGGCTTTGATCTTCAGGGTAACATCATTACTGAGAAGGATAAGTTGTCCATCGTTCCTCTTCATCCTTCTATGTAAAAGAGCACAATCTAGGATATGGTCTTCTGGGGAGGGTGATACAAGGTCCATTGTGCTCCCACACCTCGAAAAAGTCAATGAGCCCGTTGTCCCAGAAGGAAAGCACCAACTCTTCTCGCTAAATAGAGACTGCGGAGAAACAGGAGGGGTTGGAGCAATCAGTCTTCCATCTTCCATTGAGCTCTGGACATGGATCCACCAATTTGTTTTAACCATACATTCTTCGATCCATTCCAGAACCGATTCAGCCTCTGTTTTCTTTCTGAAAAGGCTGCCACGTTGCTTCAAGCAATCCAGTTCCTGTATAACTGTTTACAATAAGCGAGCGCATTAACAATCATCAGCAACAATGTTACTTAGCAAATAAAATGACCAGGCAAGAAAACTGATGCACGTATTCAAATTTCATTACCCATTCTTGGAATGATTAACTGAGTCCCCTTAAGACCTTGTAGAAACTGCAATGACTTCCCTGATTCCTTGTCTAGAAGAGTAGTAGCGTCTGCAACCATAGTCCAGCTCCTCTTTCCTTCTCCAACAGATTTATTCTGAAAATTAACTTTGAGTTACATGTCTATGCTCGATAAAGCTAGTTACAGCCATGGAAATAAATTCATGGAAGAAAGTTAGAGCTGTGGGAATAAATTTATGAAAAATTTAACCGAGTATTGACCAACTTACAGAGTGTGCATTGGCGACCTCCTTATTTTTAGTAGAACTGAAAGATATGCTGCTTTTTGTCTCTGTGTTAGGGACCGAGTCTTCTGATATGTTCTTGCCTCCGGAGCTTTTTAGTGATTGAAAGGGAATCCTTTCTCTTCTTAATTTTGTTACTGTCAACTTTTTCTCCACCCTTGCTTGATTTCCAGAAGTATTTCCTACTAATTTTGTTTCCTGGAGTTCCTTCATTATCTGGTTCTCTTTTCCTGGGGATTCAATCAGCTCTTGTTGATGGATATTGGAGACTAGATTTAGCTTCGACGAGGATGATGTGCTTGATTTGGAATGCTTAACTTTTATCGTACCCTTCTTTTTCAAAGACCTCAGTCGAATAGTATTTGGGGTGAAATTTTCCTTGTCTGGAGTAAAGATCTCCTCGTCCTCTTCAATATCATCATCATACCCAGCCTCTGTAGATTTTCCTCTGCTCTTATCTGTTTGAAGCTTTACAGCACTAGCAGGTTTGCCTCTTCTTGCCCAAACGCTTCCCATCCTCGTACTTGATTTATTCTCTGATCTCAGTGGAGGACTTTCACAGAATTCCGATTCAGGCTGTCCTGCTGCAGTAAAGAGAGATTGTGGGGTCTGGCTCTCTTTGTCATCCATTATCTCTGACATAGATGAGTTTCCAGATTCTGTCACAAGAAGTGCAGAAGAAATGCTTGTATCCCTCTTTTCATGATCTTCTGGTGCCACGCTTTTGTTTTCCGATTCTCCACAACTCACATCCACTAGACATTCTTTTTCATCAGAATGTTCAAAATTTAGGTTAAAGGGCAAGCTGGATCTTGGTTCTGGGGTCAGGCTTTCTTCTACAACTTTCTGATCTTTGGTCTCCCCGAGGACTTCCCCGATTGGCAATGATAAGTTCTCCATCACAAGAGGTCCAGAAAAAAGACATGAAATATCAGTCTGTCCATTATCTTTTCCCAATGGGCTTTGGTTCTCAAGTTTCTCAGGTACAGAAGCAGCAGCATAAGCTTCCTTTTCCTTTTCATCAAAATGTTCAAACTTTTGGCTAATCAGCAAGTTCGGTTTTGGTCCTCGGGTCAGGTTTTCTTCTGGAATTTGTTCATCTTTGTCCTCCTCAAGGACTTCCCCAGTCCGCAAGGATGAGTTCTCCATCACCCGAGGTCCAGAGGAAAGACATATACAATCAATCTGTCCCTGATATTTTCTCGAAGGGCCTTGGCTCTCAAATTCCTCAGGTACTTGAGTAGCAGGATATGCCTCATCTTCCTTTTCACCGGTAGAATGTTCAGCATTCAGGTTGACTGGCAAGTTTGGTTTTGATTCCAGGGTCAGATTTTCTTTCTCAATTAGCTGAATTTTAGTCTCCTCGAGGATTTCCCCAGTCACAAGAGGCGAAAGATCATTCTTTCCATGGTCTTTTCCCAATTGGCTTTGGTTCTCAGTTTCCTCAGGCACATGCACAGCATGATAAGCTTCTCCTTCCTCTGCAGTAAAAACGGAATTCTCTGGGTTCTCTCTTTCAGAAACCTCTTCTGTGACACAGTAAGGCTGTAGGTGCTGGTTTTCCTTTCGACTAGGATTAGATTCTTCCATATTCATAAACAGGTTCACCGACTCCGTTCCAAATGCCCAGAAGCTTGACACTTCATTCTCTTCACCGCTACCTTTTGATAAGTTCTCACCACCTTCTTCACTTTGATCACAGACTGAGTAAATGGCATTCTCCGGCAGTGGAGGTGCTGATGGGACGTCCATCTTCCCAATTACTCCCACAATTTCATCGGAGAACGACGATTCTATACCCTCTGAATTTGAATCTGGAGATTCAGGTTTTTTGTTTTCAGCTGACAAAGAATTCTCCCACTGCACGAAACCAAATAGAAAACGCAAAAGAAAATTTGTATAAAGGTCATTGGCAACTGGAAATTCCCTATTCTATTCAATTCAACTCAATTCGGATAAAATACGAAACAGATTGAACAAACAGCAGAATGAAAAACCATTCAAGAAACAATCTTTTCTTTTGGGCATTCCACACTATCCATTCAATTCAATTCGTAATAATTCAAAGATGTATGAAATTAAGAACATAATCAAGAACAATTCAACCAACAATCTTTTAGGCATACCTCAAATTCATGTCCAAAATAAACAAGCTACATAATTTCTTACCTGGTCCACTACTTGTTCTGCACTTTCATCATCTTCGTGCTCTATGAATGGCACGAAAGGGGTTTCAGAATCATAGGCCCGACTCATAGGAATCCAGTGCAGGCTGTAGACCCTGCTGGAACCACCAAGCTGGAGCCTGTCCCCTTCGCTCAGCTCCACTCGAACTCCCGGCTCGATCTTCTTGTCCGAAACCCAAGTCCCATGTACTGCAACAAAACCCCCAATTAACCCAACAAGCCATATATTTTGGGATTTTCTCATTTAATTAAAGAAAATTGAATGAAATGCCAAATAAATAGTTACCTGAAGACAAATCGGTGAGAGAGAGCTTTTGGGAAAAGGGGTCGGAGAGGATTTGGAGGTGGAATCTGCTGATGCTGGGGTGAGTCAAGACGATGTTGCAGTCCGGGTGTCGGCCAACGATCAAGATTTCTTCATGGGTTTTCCGGTGGACTGCGGAGATGGGTTTGGAGTGCGGCGGCGGGGGGGATTTGTTGACGATAAAGATGTTCTTGAGAATGGCTCCGTTCTTGAGGACTGTGAAGACGGGGATTTTCGGCTCCTCTTCTTCTTCATTTTCTTCTCCGTTCAGTTTCCTGTTCACTTTCTCGTTCGCCATGACTGTTCTTTGCTCAAAATTTGAATTTTGCGTAGGGCAAACTGGGTTTTTAGAGCGAGAGAGAGAGATGACGAATTGTTGTGATTCCTGGAGAAAATATGTGGGAGCTTGTGCTGGGATTTTATTTCAAAAAGGCTACCGTTGTGATTTTTTCAATCATATAACGGCTATTTATTATTTAAGGCCGACTAAATTTTCGGATTTTAAAACTAAATTCTAAATTCTAAAGATTTTAAGAAAAGAAATGTTCAATAAATAAATAAAGGGTTGCTTCTGTGAGTCTTCTCGCTGTTGGTGTGGAAGCCAAACTTGTGGGCAGAGAAAAATTAAAATGCCTATGTGAGTCTTCTCAACCCCTTAAAGGTGTGGATAACCGTGACTTGCCACCAATTGTCCCACTTAAAAATAAATAAATAAATAAACAAGGGTTTGCTTAATTAAAAATTTCAAAAAAATGCAAAGGCAGACATGGCAAGGAGAAAGGTGAGTGTCGTTGGGTTCAATTCACTTTCATACATAAAATTGAAATTGAACCTAATAAAATAACTAGTTTAGTTAGGTCTTGGTTCGATCTGATTAGTTTGTATTCGGTTTAGGCTTCAACCTTGTATTGGTTTGTACATCATCATATAACTCATCTGGTTTGGAATTTGAAGTTGGAGGATGCTGAGAGTGTGTGCAGTGGTCTTTTTTGAAGGCCTTCATTAGGTTACTAGATTGTCTTTGACAGACTAATCAAGTCATTGTCTTTGTTCATTTGAGTTTGTAGAAACTAGAACATTAAATGGCTCATCGGAATGAACAAGAAAATCCAATCATTGACAACTCAGATGAACAAAAACGGGGGCTCAGCGTGACAGATTATGAGTGCGGTGCAAGAGACGCAATTTTAGCAAACGAGAGTTTGAAACCAAACGTGGGACAGAACGCCTCGTCCCACTCCGTTCCGTCCCATCCCACATATCAAACGGTACCTTATAGTACAGGACCCCATCCACAAGAAATTAACGGCCAAAACTATCATACACGGATTGAGATCAATTATCGTACAAAAAAATAGGTCAAAATTTGACGTTACAATAAAAAAGATTCTGATATGGGAACCTTGAGCACAATGCTTTAGTTGGTCCTTTATGTAATTCATGACTCGGACGGGAAAAACTTATCCCAACTCACATCTTACTTGTAACGATGGCATCACCAAGACACAAAAAGTTCTGAAATAAAAAGCCAAGAAGGGCAAACCACATATTCATTTGGCTGGCTATCCGGCACGAGAGGAGCTCAATCCTGCTTGCTTTGAGAAAGCCTTGCACGATGTCTTAGCTCAGCTCTTTTCCACTTAACAATCAGGCGACATAAGGAAAAGAGTGTGTTTACCTGTGAAAGAAATTAGATTCATGTTAAAACAAAGAATTGAAAATACGGAATCAGACAAGATACAACAATAGTTGAATATCAAACGCACGTACTAACCAAAATTATGATTGCAATGACGAGAAGAGGCCCAGACCAGAGTGTTGAGAGAAAAACTCCACCCTCATCAAAATAATCCTGACTGGCAAAGCTCTTCCAGTTCGCACGCAGGAAACTATTCAGACTCTCTGCAAGATATACTCCAGCCACTGCAAAACAATTTCCACATATAAGTATCTAGATAGGCAATAGGAACATATGTAAGTTGACATGCTCAGTTCCACCCTTGTTCTGAAAGCAAACCCCAAAGGTCATGAAAATATTCTATAACCCCTTGTGATAAGTACTGGTTGGTGACTGAGTTGGCAAAGTTTCCAACTAATCTCGAAAACTGGAAATTACTACAATTCTCCATTAACAAGCTTCTACAAAAGGTATGAGGAGCATGATATACTAGTTGTACGATTCACGCATAATGTTTTGAAAACATCAATCTTCTGATAAAGAATAAACAAATGATCCAAACCCTAAAGAGAAACAAGGCCACCAAAATAGTAGTATTTTTTGCAGTTCTTTCTTCGGGACTGATATCAGATGTTTCAATGGATTTCCTAAATAACCAGAAATCGAAACGGAAGAGATTCATACATATTCTGGAGAAATCAAACAGCACGCGAAATACAAAAAATCTATTTATATTTAAAGCTTCAAATACAAAAGCACAAAGTGATTAAATAAATGGCCAAATGATTGGGTGTTGTACCAACCTTTTGAGAAAAGTTGTGCCTAGTAAAGGCCAAGGAATTCCTGAACAATCCTTTGGCACTCCTTTCCCAGTTTGATATAAAGCTTGGTCAAGGTTCCTATGGCATCTTGCCTAACAACTAGGAAAAAAGTTATAGCTTGATCGAGTTTGTTCCTCAGTTTTATGTTCCCTCATCAAACCAGATCCTCAAACCATGTTTGAAAGTCTCCATCGAACTATCAAAGCACAAGTCTCCTTGGAGGCAATCAGAATCATTTGATGAAAATGAATTGGGCTGCATCTAGCAGCACATAAATCCAAATTCTTTTGCTGAAAATCCAATCGAATAAAAGAGGATCTCTGCTACCATATCACAAGGTTTCATTAGAACCATATAAACGAACCAATTTCCTTGCTAAAAATGCAATGAGTTTTGGCCTTGTATAACCATATAAACTGACCAATACTTAGTAGAACCAGAGTAGAACCCCAGGTTTCATTACAAGCATTTTCCCCCTTTTGAACCAAGACAACAAACAAGCTGCTCCGATCTTGTCGGGGTCAGCCCCAATTACCATTCTCAATTATGCTTTTAAATTTCGCAGTCAAATTGCTTCTGGAATCAACTCATTCTAATGTTAAAAGTATGCAAAAGGACAAGCACACATTATATGTTTCATCAACGATCTAGCCACAAGCGAAAAAAAAGCGATTTTGCCCAAGCCACAAAAGGACTAAAGACAAGGCATAAATCTAACCTAAATGAAAGCATTTCAGCCATAACCCATTATATGTTTCATCAAACAACTACTCTATATATTGTTGTAAGGGAAGAACAATCCTTCACAGATTGACTGAAGGCGCAATCACACGTTACGCGACCTCGCAAACAACACAGAACACTAACTATTAAACAAATTTCATATGAAAGCAATATGAAATGAACTTACATGCCGAAAGGAACAGAAACATTTGGAAGTTGAGATTCCTCCTGGAGGTAATGGCTACTATCAGAAACACAAGATGCATCCCCATTAAACACATCAACCAAGGTTCCTGCCAATCACCCATTAAATAAAATTAGATTTTCTTTTCAAATTTGTTTACTTTCTGGGAAACCAAACAGCAAGAGAGAGAGAGAGAGAGAGAATGGAGGTACCTTCCAGTCGATGGCGTGGAAAAAGCCCAAGAAAGTGTTCACAGCAGGTGCAAGACCAGAACGTAACTCTGCCGATAATTTCTGGACGAGATCTGCCATTTGATCCAGGTGCTCCTCCACTGCCGACCGAACCTGCTCCATTTCTCACTCTCTCACACTGCTCCTTTCTTCTTCTACCTTCTACCTCCTTCTTTTCTTTCTTCTTTTAATTTCTGGAAGAATAAATAATGATCGAGTCTCTCTCTCTCCTCTTTCTGAATTCTTCTTCTCAGATCCAAAGCTGAGAGTGTCGCTGTTATTAGTCTGATAAGTCCAACGTTGTAGAGACGAGAGACGAGGAGAGACGAGAGGAGATGAAGTAAAGTCCAAGTCGACCCAAAAACTATAAAATGGGCCGGCCAATTTCCACTTTCTTATTTATTTGGGAATTGCTTGATCGCTATTTCTAAGGTGCGGACCTTACATGCAGAGGGGATATGGGCCGTTAGATGATAATTTAATGGCTGAAAACGAATCTATCATAATGAGCTTAGGGTCAAACCGGATCATAAATGACTCGTCACTTAATGCAAAATGGTACCCGGTATGAGTTCAAAATGTCTTGGGATTTAAACTACCTCCGACATCAACACTTGCCATGTTTAATTAGTCTTGTCCTCCTCCAAAAACTCTCCCTCACCTGTGTTTGCTCAAACATCCTTGTCATTTAAAACATCATTTCTGTTAGAAAATTTGCTTCTTATTCCAAACCCAATTATAGTATGTGCTTGTGTTCTCCGACCTCATAGAAATTCCAGACAACAGTGAAGGAAATCAGGGGAGTTTGGTTGAAGGCTGTGTTGTCGGTTCCACAGAAAAGACGTGATTTTCACTTTATTCGAGTTGGGTTCAGAGTGCTTTAGCGATAACTGACATCATATTTGATTCCCAAGTGAATTTCAAATTTGGTGAGTTTTGAAAATGGAACCCTAGAATTTAATTTTGTTAATTTTGTTAATTAGTATAAATTTAAGTAGGTGTAAGGTTAATTATGCATGTTTGTTGATGTAACTAGCTGAATTTTGTGCATATATGTGAAATTTTTGAAAAAATTGGGTGCGTTTTGAAGTTATGAAGCTATGCTGACGGGTTATGTAGAGGCTGGGTCGTTATTTGTTGTTTCGGTAATGTTCTAGTTTTAAATAGGGATTGATTTTGTATCTGAATTATTGCTAATTTTATGGTGGTAAAGATTGATTTTTTTTCATCTGAGTATTGTTAATTTTATGGGTGGGACTTGAAATTGCTTAAGTAATGAGCACTATTCACAGTAAATTTATAACTATGAAACTTTGATGGCATGTTGTTGTAAGGTTATTTGTTGTTATTGTCAATTTTGTGGTGGGACTTGAAATTGCTTACGTAATGATACTCTGTTTCCAGTAGATATATAACTATGAAATTTGGTGACAGTTTGTTGCAAGGTTATGTGTTGTTGATTGTTGTCTGTGTATTGTTATGTGTACAAGATATGACAACCCAGGGTGTTCAACTAGCAACCAAAGAAGAAGAAGTGTATAAGGAAGGGTTAACAACCTATCCCAAGCCTCCCATGTGTTACGATTGATTAGGTAGAAGTTTAATGAGGCACAACTTTATGCTTTTAGGGCATCCTGCTTTGGCCACCTGTAGAGTGTGGATGAATTGGTCTTCATCAGGAAATTGGTCCATGAGTTGTTCCATAGAGTGGCAAATCAAGGGGTTAAAGACCTAGAGGGGTTGACTTATTTAATAGGTTGTGAATTGACCCAGTTTGCAAAGCAGGACTTCTACCTCATTACTAGGCTTCGATGTGACGAACCCCATGATATAGAGCTTGAGCCATAAAGGATTAGGCAGCTAAGGGAGTATTTTCCCACTAAATTAGGGTTAATAGGTGAAAATAGCAAGGGGATGAAGGAAAAGGGGAAAGGTAAAGCCAAAGCCGCCGTCAAGAAAATCACCAAAACAATATTTGTGATTTACGAGGAGCTTGAAAGGGCATTTAAGTGCAAGAACAAGGAAAATTCCTTCAAGCTAGGTTTGTTATACTTTTCTGAGGTTGTATTGATAGGGGCAAAAACAACGTTGTTGTGAATCTAAACTACCTCCACCTCGTGAAAGAAAAGGATAGGTTCAACAACTTTTCATGGGGTTCCATCTTCTTCGAACAACTTCATGACAACCTTTCATTTGCTGCTTTAAGAAGAGGTAGAGGTAGAGTTGAGGAGGATGGTGAGGGAGATGAGGAGGAAGAAAAAGAAGATAGGGGAACGAAGGAACGAAGAGGGCTACGATCCAAATAGGGCTGCAAAGGATTTTCGTACGATTTTCAGGTAATGTGTGTTGCTTTCATTGGTAAAATTGACTTTATTAATGTGATTGAGTATTAATTATTGAGGAATACGTGCAGATGTGGGCATACGGAAAAATTCCCCAATTTGAGAAGCCCTTACGTTACTACAAGATGGCAGATCTGACAGCTATACCGAGAATTCTGCGGTGGAAGACAATGAAGAAATAGCTGATCACATGGAAAAACATCATCACCCAGAATATAATTCCATGATTACAAATCTAGTAGAAATACAATAAAAATTTTCGACCACAACCACATCCAATCACATGGAAAAATAACGCTATTGTTTGGAAAGTTAACTGGACAGTGACCATCCAGATAGGCCGGTGTAAATAGCTAGGGGTGGTATTGATACGATTACCGTACCAAAACCCATGTACCAATTACCATACCAAACTTTTGGTATGACAAAATCTATTACGATTACCATGCCAAACTTTCGATATACCGAATTTCAGCATGCCAAATAGTTCGGTTGACATGGTATGATAATTGTAATTACCACTTTGTTTTGGGCCATTCTTTGGGGCCAAAATTTTATTTTTTTGTTTCCAACCCAATTCAGGGCCCAAACGTGTTCTGGCCGCTCCCGTTGGGTATCTAAATTTTTTGAATTTAATTATGAGAATTTTATAGAGATTCATTTAAGAAACAAGAAGTGAATAGATGGAAGAATTGTTGAAAGAACCCAATATCCCTTAAAAAATAGGACAAGGATTCCTAAATTCCATCTCTACATTCTTTAGAATTGTACAAAAATTAACTTGATGGACGAAGCCAGGGAGAAAGACAACCCAATTTGATGAAGGAGAAGATGAGATGGACTCCAGAGAGAGAGAGTCGCCGGAACTTGAGCAATAGAGATGAAGTCGGTGGCTAAATAGTGAAAAGATGAAGAGTCGCAACGCAAGAAGGCTTAGGTTTTTTTATTGGGAAAGTAGAGGTTAGAGGGTGAGATGATTGGATAAATGACTAGGAAAAAAATTAAAGTGCATATATAATGATAATAATACCTAATTATATATATAAATGAATAAATAAATGATATAGTATTAATAGTAGTGGTACGGTACGATATACCACTGGTAATGATTTTGAATACCATTACCTTACCAAAAATGTATGGTGTTTGTACTATACTTGACCAATCCCGAAACTACTAAGCACCGATCAATGTTATACCGTCAAGGACCCAGAAGAGTTTCCCTCCAACCAGGAGGCCAATCACAGCGCAACACGTGTCAACATCAGAAGCCAATCATAGTGCGACTAGTGTCAACATCAGAAGCCAATCACAACACGACATGTGTCAATGTCAGAATGAAACTAGAAACTCTCTTCTATAAATAAAGATCATTCTCTCACAATATTTCCTAATGTCATTTGTACTAAATCATTCACTAGTACTCATAAAAGGAGAATTTGAACCTATGTACTTGTGTAAACCCTTCACAATTAATGAGAACTCCTCTAATCCGTGGACGTAGCCAATCTGGGTGAACCACATACATCTTGTGTTTGCTTCCTTGTCTTTATCCATTTACATACTTATCCACACTAGTGACCGGAGCAATCTAGTGAAGGTCACAAACTTAACATTTTCTGTTGTACCAAAGTCCTCATTGATTTTGTGCATCAACATTTGATGCCGTTTATGGGAACAACATTTATTCCTAGTCTCTTCAGCTTTGCCAAGCTGGTTTCCACCATTCGTACACTCTCTTTTGACCAGGCATCCCTCTCCAACATGGGGAGCGCAAGAAGCCACAACACACAGAATGACACCCCTCTTGCACCTAGTGCGAAGTAACGAAAGAAGGAAGGAAAAAGGGTTGCTCTTCAAGCTAAAGTCGATGAGCTGTAAGCTCAGAATAACAAGATAGCAATGAAGAATGAGGTCCTCTATGAGCAGTATGAGAAGCTCTTTGAGACGCTCCACGAAACTAGGCATACTCAAACACACGAGCTCGTTGCCCCTGTGAACATCAACTATCATCTGGGTGCCCCCCAACACGGAGGGTCACCTCCCTTTGACATGGGTATCCCTGATGAGGAGTGAGCTAATCAACAAAACATTGATCAACGTGAGACTTATTTCAAGCCAGATGCTTCGACCCGAAGTAGAAGAAGTGGAGGAAGACACCTCCTTGAAGAAGGGTTGGAAGGATCGAAAGCCGTTTATCGTAACTGTCGAGACTTCCTAAAGCAACGTCGAGAGAATCCCCTTCACATATGCTCGAAGATCAATGACCCAAGGGTTTTTGAAAGATTCGGTCCCCTCCCATGACCCAGGCCAGCTGTCAATCTAGGGAAGGAACGACAGGTCCCAGAGGAACATGAAGGTACGAGGGACTCTGAGGTATTCCGACAGACTCGCCCTAGAAGTCAGTACGGCGAGTCTAAGAAAAAACCACACACCCTTGCTCAAACTTTCCTACTTCCAAGAGGCGATGGATACTTACGAAAGAAAATTCCAGTGGTACATGACTCCACTCAAGACCCCCTTATCCTACAACTCTGTGAGGAAGTAAACAAGTTGAAGGCCGAACGTCAGGCTGAGATACCTGACTGGAACCAACCCAGGCTTGGCCCTCTCACAAGAAGGATCCTCAACACCGTCATTCAAGCGAAGACAAAACAAAAGCTTGTTTTACAACTCTATACTGGAAAGGAGGACCCAATTGAACACCTTAACCTCTTTGAGTCCACCATGGCATATCAGATGCACACCGACGAAGAACGATGTCTTTTCTTCCCCTCCACCCTCTCTGGCGGAGCTCTAAACTGGTATTGCCGTCTTCCACCTGAGACAGTAGACTCATTTGAGGAATTGAGGAAACTGTTTGTCTTTCAACACATCTTCCAGACTGATCACTTGCATTCTGCAGATGACTTGTACACTATTCGCCAGAAGCCGGACGAGTCACTACGATAGTATGTCGGTCGTTTCAGTCATGAGTATTCTCGCTGCGTTGAGGCAGATGACAAGATTACCCTC